CCGGTGTCACAAGTGCGTGAGCATCCACTAGGAAAAATGAAATAAAATACATCATCCGTCCGGAATACAAATTGGACGGGAAAGAAAATACAATTACTCTGAAGGATATTCTGCGGATCGTCTCATAAGATGCAGCTCACCTAAGTCCCCGTATCAACCACGCCGCTGCGCCCACAAGGCCAATAAACATACATGTGCATGTACAACAAAATGTACAACAAGTGTAATATGAGTACAAAAATAACGCGTATCCAATAGTGACGAGAGGCCGACTCCGACACTTATTATGGCCAACAATAATATGCCGATAATATGATAAATTATGAATTTTATAAGGCGACTGTAAACTCAGTAACACGAAGCAGGTAAACAATTTTTTGTTAATAGGAGATTTCCAAATTTATTTTCATCTTTTAACAATGTATATCTCCGGCCAATAAGGCCACATCAATTATCAAATTTTCCAAAACAATCAATCAAGTCATGCGCAAATCATGCCGAGGTCGTACGACCCGATCCAACATAATATTTAAATTGTGCATTGTCGAGGGCCGAACAACGCGAACCATAGATGCATCTATTTACCCCGCTTGCGAATCATACATGTGACGCGGTCAAATATAAATTTAAGAAATTACCCCGCTTGCGGATCATACGTGCGACGCGATTGCACTTAGAATTCTTAAGTTATTATAGTATTCCTGAATTCTTTTCAAAATACGAAGTTCAAATGAAAACTTTTAAGTTCCCAATTTTTTCTCAATTTCAACTCCTTTCAGAATATTTAATAAGCTAACTCAATCTCGCTTCTTCTCAAGACAAACAATAAAGATAAATCAACAACAATATCAACAAGGCATGATATAAGCCTAAAACTACTCGGACATAGGCATATCTAGTAGCTACGTACGGACTCTCGTCACCTCGTGCGTATGTAGCCCCCACAAATAGAAGCACATAATAATTTAGTTCACCTATGGGGTTAATTCCCTCTTACAAGGTTAGGAAGGAGACTTACCTCGCTCCAAAGTTCAATAACCGGCTCCAACGCCACTCTAACACCTCAAACCGATGCCCAACGCTCCAAAACTAGCCAAAAAATACGCAAACCAATGAAAATATACTCTAATACTCATAACAATTCAATTTACAACAATTCCCAACTCCGTTCGGAAAGTCGATAAAATCACCCTCGGGCCCACGTGTCCCGATTCCGAAATTTTTTGAAGATAAACATTACCCATAACATTACAAACTCATATATATAATTTATTCTCAATTCCATGCATAAATTCGTGGTCAAAATTCAAGAATACCAATTTCTAGATTTTTCTTCAAAATCCCAAATTTCTACCAATTTTCATGCTTGAATCCATAATAAAACCATGTATTTAACTTACAAGAGGTGGGGTTAACTTACCTCATGTTTGATCATGAAATCCCATGTTCAAAAGCTGCAAAAATCGCCAAGCCGTGTGAGAAATGGGTGAAGTGAACTCAAACCCCGCTTTTAAAACATTCTGCCCAACCCAAGTCCGCCCTTCTTCGTGATTGCGGAAACGCCTTCGCGATTGTGAAGGCTAAGCACACTTTCTCTGTATTTTTCTCTTCGCGACCGCACACAAGCCCACGAGAATGCGATGCTCTGCATCCCAACACTTTGCGATTGCAGTCCTCCTCACGCGAGCGCGATGAGCAAACGCGTAGCATCAGGCCACCCCTCATTCTTTCTCCGCGAACGCGTTACCACAGCCGCGTTCGCGTAGCACAACTACGCACAGCCCCGCGATCGCATGTCCATAATCGGGACCACATAGAACAAATTCACAGTCGCTCCCAAACAACTCTACGTGATCGCAGACTTCCATTTGCGATCGCGTATAAGGAAACCAACAATAGTCATGATAGCAGCTTCAGCAGATCCCCCAACTCGAATTTCGATCCGTTAACCATCCAAATTCCACCCGAAGCCCTTGGGACCTCAACCAATCATACCAACCAGTCCCTAAACACATTAGGAACTTGCTCGAGGTCTCAAATCGCATCAAATAACATCGAAATCATGAATCGCACCCCAATTCAAGCTTAGTGAACTTTAGAACTTCAAACTTCTACATTCGATGTCGAAACCTATCAAATCACGTCCGATTGACCTCAAATTTTGCACACAAGTCACATTCGATATTACGGACCTACTCCAACTTCCAAAATCAGATTTTGACCCCGATATCAAAAAGTCCACTTCCGGTCAAACTTTTCAAAAACCTTCAAATTTCTATCTTTAGCCAAATGACTCCAAAATGACCTACGGACCTCCGAATCCACTTTCGGATGCGCTCCTAGTACCAGAATCACCATGCGGAGCTATTCCCAGGCTCGGAATCCCAATAACAACCCATCGCTGACGTGGCTAAATCGCAGCCCTTGGGCTTCATTAAAACTTCAAGTAATCCTAGCCGTCCATTTGAATTTCAGTTATTCTTTCCTAATTTCTGTTATCGCTCCTCCTCACTTCGAATCCAGCTGAAGCCATTACCTTAGATCATAACATACTCGCCCTCTTCAAACAATCCTTGTCTCAAGGATTGGAATCAAAATTTGGGAACCTTGCCTTGATATAGTGATAATCCTCCCAAGTAGCATCTTCAGAAGGAAGATTTGACCACTGTATCAAAACCCTTACCACATCAGAATTATCCCTTTTTATAAGCTGTCTCTGCAAAATAGCTACTGGTTTCACTAGGAACTTACCATCTTCTCCAGTCATTGGTAGAGTAGTCTGCACTACTACCCTATCTCCCACCTTCTTTTTGAGTAAAGACACATGAAACACAGGGTGGATCCTAGATTCAGGTGGAAGATCTAGTTTGTAAGCCACCTTGCCAATCCTTGCTAAAATCTTGTAGGGACCATAGTATTTGGAGCTCAACTTTAAATTTCTCCTTAATGCTAATGATGTCTGCCTGTAAGGTTGAAATTTCAAATACACCATATCTCCAACTTGAAACTCCCTATCTGTTCTCCTTTTATCAGCATAATATTTCATCCTCTCTTGAGCTTTAGTGAGGTGGTCCTTCAAAAGTTGCTGCATTATGCATCACTGAATCTTCAGCAGCTGGTACCATAGTTTCCAATAAGGGCCCTAGTGACAGTTGAGGAGGTGAGAATCCGTAAAGTGCTTCAAAGAGGGTACATTGTAAGCTGGTGTGAAAATTTGTGTTGTACCACCATTCTGCAGTAGACAACCACTGTTTCCACTGTGTTGGCCTATTAGCAGTCATGCACCTTAGATAGTTTTCTAGACATCTGTTGACCCTTTCTGTTTGGCCATCACTTTGAAGGTGATAGGCAGTGCTATAGTGAAGCTGTGTTCCCAGGAGTTTCAATAGAGCTTGCCAAAAGTGGCTCAAGAACACCTTGTCTCTGTCTGTTACAATGGATTCTGGAATCCCATGCAAACAATGTATCCTCTTCCAAAACACTTCAGCTATAGTCACAGTTGTGTAAGGGTGAGCAAGTGCTATAAAATGTGCATACTTTGTTAGTCTATCCACAACCACAAGGATAACTTCCTTGTTCTTGGACTTGGGAAACCCTTCTATAAAGTCCATGCTAATGTGGCTCCAGGCTTGGTTTGGGATTGGTAGTGGTTGCAGCAACCCTGGTAGGCCATATGGTCATCTTTGCTTCTGAGGCATACATCACAGCTGGCCACATGATCAACGACCATCTGTTTCATCCTTGGCCAATAAAATACTTGTGATAGTCTTCTTAGAGTCCCCAGCTGGCCTGAGTGTCCACCTATGGGAGAGTCATGAAAGGTGGATATCAACTGAGTTCTGAGTCCCCCATTGGTGCCAATGTAAATTTTTCCCTTCTTCCTGAGTATGCTAGCAGTGTAGTGCCATATGCTGGGTCCTTGTTGGGTCACAGCCATCTGGCTAATGATTTCTGTAGCCTTAGGGTCCCCTTCATAGCTGTGTGTGATTTCCTGCACCCATGCAGGAACTGAAATACTGATGGCTTGCAAAGCACCCTGGAGTTGGTTCTTTGAAACATCAAGGCCTTCCTGCTGTCTGGACAGGGCATCAGCAACCCTACTTTCAGCTTCTTTCTTGTACTGCACCTCATAGTCCATCCCAAGTAGTTTAGTCAATCCTTTTTGTTGTATGGCAGTAGTTACCCTCTGCTCTAGGAGATATTTCAAACTGTGATGGTCAGTTCTCACTACAAATGTTTGTATTGTAAGTAATGTCTCCACTTTTCTACTGCATTTAGCAAAGCCATATACTCCTTTCCATAGATAGATTTACCCCTGTGTCTTGGGGCTAAGACCTTGCTAAAATAAGCTATGGGACTACCTTCCTGCATTAGTACAGCCCCAATGCCCATTTGGCTAGCATCAGTTTCCACTATGAATTCCTTGTTGTAGTCAGGTAGTGCCAGTACAGATGTAGAAGACATAGCTTTCTTCAATCTTTCAAATGCTAAATCTGCCTCCTCATTCCATTTAAAGGCTTCCTTTCTCAACAAATCAGTCAAGGGCCTGCAAATGGTGCCATAATTGGCAACATACTTTCTGTAATACCCAGTCAGTCCCAAAAATCCTCTCAAGGCTTTCACAGAATCGGGGGTAGGCCATTCAATCATGGCCTTGATTTTGGATGGATCAGTTGACACTCCCTCTACAGTTATAATATGCCCCAAATATTCAACTTTGGACTGACCAAATGAACACTTAGACCTTTTAGCAAACAAGGAATGTTTCCTTAAGATGCCAAACACTGCACTCAAATGAGCTATATGTTCCTTCTCAGATAGACTGTATACCAATATGTCATCAAAGAAAACTAACACAAATTTCTGAAGGAATGGTTGAAAAACCTGGTTCATCAAAGCTTGGAAGGTGGCTGGAGCATTGGTTAGCCCAAAGGACATCACCTTGAACTCATAGTGGCCCATGTGAGTTCTGAAAGCAGTCTTGTACACATCCTCCACCTTCATTCTGATCTGGTGGTAACCAGCCCGCAAAATCCACCTTTGAAAATATTACAGACATCTAATAGGTCATCTACAATGGGTATGGGATACTTATCCTTAATTGTGATATCATTCAGCCCTCTATAGTCTACACAGAATCTCCATGATCCATCTTTCTTCTTGACAAGTAAGGCTGGAGAAGAGAAGGATGATTGACTATGTTGTATGATGCCATTAGTAAGCATCTCCTTAACCTGCTTTTCTAATTCCTCCTTCTGATAATAGTTGTACCTGTAGGGCCTCAAACTGACTGACATTGCTCCTGGTTTTAAGGGTATGTTATGGTCTAATGTCCTGACAGGAGGCAAGGTCTTTGGCTCAGCAAAAACATCTGAATAATGCTGTAGTACCTCTTCAATGGCCTCCCCGACTGGTTCTTGCTCTTCAGTATTCACAGCACTTATCATGAATAGGTGAGCTATTAGAGCCTGACCTTTCTTTAACATCTTGCCCATGGTTCCACTGGTGATCATAGTCAGCTTTCCCTCTTCAGTGATGCCCTGTAATACCAGCTTGTTACCCTTCTTACCAATGGTAACACACATCTTCTCATGATCAAATTTGGTTGGGTTGTGCTTCTTCATCCAATCGTTTCCCATAACCATATCACAGCCTCCCAATGGAATAATCAGTAGATTCTCTTGGAATGGTCTGCCTTGCATCTTCCATTGATAGCTCATGCAAATTGAAGTGCACATAACATAGTTTCCATCAGCAACTGTCACCCTCACTGGTGGGCAGGGTTGAGCTTGGTACCCTGATTCCTTGACTGTGGTGGCATCAATGAAACTATGAGTACTCCCTGAGTCAATCAATACTGTTAGTTTCCTATTGCCTATAGTCCTACGTACCAGTATGGTATTAACCCCCTTGTTATCACTTGATAGGGCATTTAAACACACCACCTCTATAACTTCCTGTTCCATTTCCCCTTCAATGATCAGCCCTGCAGAGTTTTGTTCTTCTTCTATCTCACTAGTCTCAATAGGAACTTCTGTTGTCCCTATCATACTATTTAATTGCTTCTTTTTGCATTGGTGGCCTGGAGCATACTTCTCACCACATTTGTAACACAAATGGTTATTCTTCCTATACTCATAAACCTCAGGGCTAAGCCTAAATGAAGTTGGTTTGACTGCAGTTGCAACATGTGCCTTAGTGATGCTAGAGCTGCCAGTGTTCTGAAAGGATTTAGTCACTACTTTTGTACGCTTGAAAGCAGCCTCTATAACCTTCTCCTGTAACCTAGCTTGTTCCACTGCAAATCTTAGAGTTGTAGGTTTGAATAGTTTCACCCCAAACCTAATCTCCTCCTTCAAGGCACCAATAAAACTAGAAATGAAATGTGACTCATCTAAGTTAGGGTTCCTGATCAACATTTGGGCTTTCAAATCTTCAAATTTACCCAGGAATTCATCCACTGTCCCCGTCTGGTTTAGCTTGTTAAATTCCTTTACTATGTCTCCCATTAATTCTTCTCCAAATCGGATCAGCAATTCTTCTTTAAATTCAGCCCAACTTACTTCCCCTTTACTTAGAATTAAGGAGTTGTACCAGATGTCGGCCAATCCATTCAAATAGAGAGCAGGTGCTTCCACTTTCAAATTATCTGGAGTCCTATACAAGTTAAAATACCTTTCGCATTTTCTGATCCATCCTTTAGGTTCATGACCTTCAAAATAAGGTAGCTCCCATTTAGGCGCAGGAGCTTGTACTGCTGGAGGTCGATGGTGCCTCATCTCTTGGCCTGGCATGGGCAGTAATCCATCACCTTGAGGTCCCTCTCCTTGTGCTCTTGGTGGAACTCTCTCCAAATTAGTCAGTCGTTCGAGTATCAGCTCCAGTGTGCCCTGTATGCCATTTTGAGTGTTGCGGAGTTCCTCCTGAGTGGCCATCACTTCATTTAGAACCTCTTTGTGTCTAACCAGTTTATCATCCATAACCTTCAGTCTAGTTCCTTCAGCCATCACCTCCTCACAGTCGCAGAATCGAGGCTCTGATACCAATTGTAATGATCTCAAATCAAGCTAAGGAAATAAAAATACAGAAACGGAAATAGAGTGTGTTTTTGGGATAATTTTCTGATATATTGAATTAAAAGAAAACTATCTATTACAACTGAATAAGAAATAACTATTGCTAACTAGCCTCCATAGCTGCAGAACCTGAAGAGAAGAAGAGAAAGAGATCTGTTAGGAAGAAGAAGAAGAAGAAGAGAGTGAGGAAAGAGAAGAGAGAAATCGAAGAGGGAGAAAGAGAGTTTACTTTGCTGAATGAATTTCTCCTCTCCCTGTTGTAGTTAGTTATAACAACCCATCGCTGACGTGGGTAAATCGCAGCCCTTGGGCTTCATTAAAACTTCAAGTAATCCTAGCCGTCCATTTGAATTTCAGTTATTCTTTCCTAATTTCTTTTATTGCTCCTCCTCACTTCGAATCCAGCTGAAGCCATTACCTTAGATCATAACACTCACACAACTAGTGTTAGTTGTGTGAGGCTTCTTTTTTGTCTCACAACTGTATGGTCCCGGAATTTTTGTGGACCCAGATGTGTAAGATATGGGTCCACAAAAATATGAGATAAAAAGAGGCCTCACACTACTAGTGTAAGTTGTGTGAGGCACAAAATAAAATCACTCATGATTCAGGGACACTGGTTGATGTTGACTAATGTGGCTAGTTGAACCTCTGCTATAATTAAATGGTTAGTACTATTTTATATTTCTAGTAGCTAGTAGGTCCATAGTATATACCTAAAGTTTTTCTTTAAAAAAAAAACTAGTACAACTAGAGACGGTAAAATTATCTTTACTTAATCTGGAGTTGGAAC